TGGTTTAATTCCCAGTCAGGAACCATGCCTGGGTTGTGGGCTCCATCCCCAGTAGGGGGCATGCAGGAGGCAGCCTATCAATGATTCTCTCTCATCATTGATGTTTCTAACTCTCTCACACTCTTCCATGTAATATCTTAATCAATAATAAAAAATATATTAAAAAAAAAAAGTCCAAAGCAGTCCAGCTTTGGTGAAGCTCAACTGAGCATGAGGTAGTCAGCTTGTATGCAGAAGCCATGTCGTAGATAAATCATGTTTTTTAAGCATCGTACCTCACTTACTATGGCAGAATACGCACACTTTGAAAGGTACACAGAAACTGAGCCAATGGAGAGATTGGCAGAAGCCCCAGTCACACCTACTGTGGGACAAGTACTTGTTGTGTGGAAAAGCAGGCAGAATCACCAGAACTATTGCATTGTCACCATTGGTGTCCTTCCCCATCCCCCGCCCCCCCTCCCATCCCCCGCCCCCCCCCACCCCCCAATGCATGTAGCTGAATGATCAAAGGTGCATATGATGGGTCTCCACGTTATCTTCTGAGCACCTCTTCCATGTCAGAACAGCTCAAAAAGCAGCATGAGTCCTGGATGGGGATGAAACCTATCCCAGAACTGAACTGTCCATTCAGGCTACAACCAGAACTTGACACTGCCATTTACCAAATAACCTTGCTTTGTGCTTATGCCCAGTCTTCTTCCAGAAAGGGCAGATTGAGTACTGTCACTGTCATTTTCTGTTCATAAGATATGTCATGTGGAAATTAGAAGTTCAAATCTTAAGAAACGGAAAAATCTTCAGCCTGCTGAAAACTACCAATGTGGCAATCCCTCCTGACAGCACGGAGGACATGTGGAGCAGTAACTGAGAGCATGGGGTCAGGAGCCAGGCAGTCCTGGGCTTGAGCCCAGCTCTGTCCCCCACTAACTGCCTGATCTTGAGCAAGTTAATTAACCTCTCTGTGCCTGGTCTCAAATCCAACTCATCTCCCCATCCATACCCCCAGCCTTATTCTCCTGTATTCTAATTTCGTAGCATCAAGCTAAAAAATCTCTATCCTCAACTCTTTCTATACCTTCTTCTCCTTGGCTTTGCCTACTCTCCTGCCCCCTCCCTCACTACCAAGTCCTAAAAATTCTACCTAAAATTCACCTCCCTGCTGCAGCACTGCCTCATTATTAGCACAGACCTTCTACTAAACACAGCGGTTCTCAACCTGTGGGTCGCGATCCCTTTGGGAGTCGAATGACCCTTTCACAGGGGTCGCCTAAGACCATCGGAAAACACATATATAATTACATATTGTTTTTGTGATTAATCACTATGCTTTAATTATGTTCAATTTGTAACAATGAAAATACATCCTGCATATCAGATATTTACATTATGATTCATAACAGTAGCAAAATTACAGTTATGAAGTAGCAACGAAAATAATTTTATGGTTGGGGGTCACCACAACATGAGGAACTGTATTAAAGGGTTGAGGCATTAGGAAGTTTGAGAACTGTTCTAACACATAGATCCCGCTGGTCCCTTCCTTACAACCATCCTGGATACGTCTCACCCCTCTCTAACGCTCCCACCTACGGCAGGAACACCAAACTGATCATGCTCCTCTCCTCCCTCTAAACCTTCAAGGGCTCCCCAATGCTCCTTCAAGTAGTGTGCAAAGCCTGACGGTCTGGCCCATGCCCCCCTCCAGGCTCCTCTCTGACCACTAACCCTCACATACTTTCTGCTCCAGCTGTAAGGAACTTGGCTGCCTCCCAAACATGACAGGTCCTTTCACGCTTCTGGGCCAGTCCCTGCCCTCTGGCCTGGCAAGCCCCAACACCCATCCTCGGGGATGCAGCTCCAAGGTCACCCCACTCCTGAGAGGCTTTCTTCAGCCCCTCCCAGACTACCTGCAGCAGCCTCACTGCTTCCCACCTGCAGACTGTCAACCCTCAAGTGCAGGCAAGGATCATGCCCTCCACCGGTGGCCCCAGCCCGACAGTGTCCGATACACAGCAGACACTGAAAAAAGCAAGTCGTGGGCACATGGGAGAGACACTGGAAATACATATCCAATTTAAAGGTAATGTGCCAGTTATCAGTTAAAAATCACCCAGGTTCCAAATACAGAATCTTAAAGATTTTAGTGTGTGGCTGGATTCGGGCACAGAATGGAACAGGAGGTTCCACCCAGGAATGTCAGCATTACAGAATGCCCCAGGGCACGGCAGGGCCTGAGCGCCAGCCCCTTCTGAAGCCAGCCTAAGAGTTTACAGACAGTTTTCCCTCTGCCATCAGCTCTGGTGCCCCTTCACTACCACTAAACATTAAAGCTGGGCAACAGGCTAGGGCAATCTCTCTCCTTTATGGAGGCCTGTTTGTTCCTGTTCTCAAGTCCCAAGTGCCCCGGTTCTCATCCTGGGGGTAAGCTTTGGGAATGCACACCAACCGCACAGTCGGAGCCTTTTTCTATCTTTTTAATCTCATTGAGCTCACAGTGTCTGCAGCATCCAAAGGACCCTCAGCACACCTGAAGCACTACAGAGCGGACACTGGCCTAGCTGGAGCTCACATCTACTCCCCCAAAGGCAAGGCACTAGCCTAATTGTATCCCCTACCTGCCACAACCCCATCATCAGGCCAAAAAAAAAAAAAAAGAAAGAAAAGCAGCCAGCATCAGGAACCTTGGGAGACTTGGGGCTTACTCCTGGACTTAGCTCTCTCAACCAGACTTCATGCACAGATATTGTAACTCACAGTCACACTCAAGTGCCACCCCTAGCTGGTCTTACTAAGACCTAGTGCTTTACTGCCATGCTCCTGGCCGAGACTACCCACCTTGTGTGCTGCATTCTTCCTCCCTGACTGCCAGGTACCAAGCACCCTGCTGCAGTTCCATCCTGGCTGGTGAGACAAGACCTCCCTCCCACTGCACCCCAATACCAAGTCACACTAAGAGTCCGACAACCGCACCAAAACTGCTGTGGGTCGACCTAATGCTGGGGGTCTGCATTTTAGGAAGCCACTGCTAACTGGGGCATCATCCAGCCTGTGAAAGAGCAACCCCCTGCCCCACCCATTCACAGAGGGAGCAACTTGCTCCACGCTCTGTAGGTACTGCCGCTCATGTTTGATTTGCTTTCTGCAACATCAGACAGGTGGAGGTGACTAGCAATAGTAGATTCCTAATGGCCCACAGTTGTCCCTGGGGACCATCTTTCAGGAACTTTTCCCTAGGTAAAGCAACTCCTAAGAAGCCCCTGAAAGTGGGATCGAGTGCAGGAAAGTTGGCCATCTGGTTTGGTTTAACTACAATTTGAAAATGGAGGTACTTCTGGTCCCCTTTCCCAGGAGATGTGAATGTTAGGAGCTGGAACTCAGGCACAATTCGGCTCTGGGCGACAAAGACTCCTCCCACTCTCCCCAACCACGAGGAGGGGCCGGGAGATCAGGAATTCGAGGGGTGATACACTGGGTGGGGCCAGGCGCTCCCAAGAGGCCTCCGTTTTCCATGCTTGAAGAGGGTCTCCGGTCCGGCCCACTCACCTCCCGCGCCGGAGAGCCCGGCCCCTGCCGTCCTAGCGCGCCCCCTGCCGGCCCGCCGTTCAAGGCCGGGCGCGATCAGACCTAGGCACTTGGAGAGGCAGGCGCCTGCTCCCCAGGGACACTGACCGCGGTGCTCCTGGTTCTCAGAGCTTGGGCGTGACCAGCCATGTCTCCTGCACTTAATCATTCATTCGAAAATGGCGGTCTATCGTCATACCCCTCCTTTGATTACACCGTTAGGTAGCTTTCTCTTCTCTCACTTCATCGTGTTTTTGCCTGACAAAACTCCAACCCCACTCTCCACCTATTTTCCACCTGCACCTAGTTATGCAGGTTGGCTAATTGTGCTTTAAATTTATTATCTCAAGTGCCTGTTAGCCTACATTCCCTTCATTCATTCTACCGTTTCCTCTCTCTTATTCTTAAAGTTTGCTTTCTATTTCACTGAGAAAAATAGAAGTGATCAGAGAGAACTTGCACATGCTCTAATCACATCCTCTCGTCTCTGCCTACAGACTGGGCCTTCTGCGACTATTGATCAGTCCCCTCTATTTGGGCCCTAGCTGCCAGCCCCTCAACTACTAACCTGTATTTCTCCAACAATTCTCTCCTCTGTCCGGGATCATCCATTTCCCTTCTTTAACTGGTTCATTCCTATCAGCATTCAAACATGCTGAAATATTTTTCATCTTAAAACAACCCTCTCTCGACCCCGCTGCATTTCTTTCTCCCCATTTCTCTGCTCATTTTGATAACATAAAACCTCAAAAGAATTGTGTATATTCACTGTCTCCAGTTTTCCACTCATTCTTTCTTGAACCCTGTCCAATCAAGCTTAGGCCTCCTTTACACTACCAAAACCTCTTGTCTAGGTCATCAAGAACTCCACAGTGCTAAATCCAATAGTCAATTTTTAGGCCTCATTTTCCATGTGTAAATGAGAGGGCATATGTACAACTGTAAAGTGCTTCCTAAGTGTCACAGATTACCATTATTATTTAGAAACCAATAAACTTTTAAACTAGATGAATGCCCACTGTGGCAAAGATACCTCTGTTCTTCCCATCCTCTCCCCACCCCCAACCTGTTTATGAAGCTTTCCAAGCCCAAGTGTGGGGCCTTCCATGTGTCCCTGCTCTGCCATCCTGTGTCCAGAAGGGTCCAAAAGCACTCT